ATAATCTTACTTACATCCTGCACTTCATAGTCCATCAATATAACCTGTGCTATTTTGTGTCCCACACTTGACCCACAAGGCAAGCAACAGAATGTGCTGAATGTGGTGTCCCATCAAATTAATCCACATAATGCAGCTGTTGATAAATGACACAACTCGTGTCTTTTTTCAAGTTTATTTGAAACTGATAAAGGATTTCAGAATTTCATGAATATGCACATGCATTCATTATTTTGTAGGAAAACCAAATTAATTATTAACATAACACTGTAAAGTTTTATTTAGTTGGTGAGAATGTTAGTTTTCTGGTCAACAAGGTAGCTGTATTGTTCAGTATGGTTTTGTATTCAATATAGTTAAGTGGTTTTTTTTTTCCTTGTAATACTTACTTGATTCTGTGGCTTCAATAATTCAGGTATTCTGAGCACACACAGTTGCAGTCTCAACAAAGAGCTGTCCAGGAAGCAATCCAGGTGAAGCTGAATGAGTTTGAGCAGTGGATAACACACTACCAAACTGCTTTCACGAATTTAGAGGCAACACAACTTGCAAGTCTTCTTCAAGAAATTAGCACACAAATGGACCTAGGTATAAAACACTATTGTGGATTTCTTTAAATGGGTTTAAAATAACTAGAGTTTAATACCAGGAAGCATTATGAGTATACTTTAACTTAAAGCCAAGGACCTGTATATAATAAATAAAAAGAAAGGGGATTCTTCAAAGGGTGATTTACAGCACCTCAAGGTTTCTGTGCCAAGCTGTCTGGTGGAACATGTCTGTCTTACTCCAGGTGGGCATGAGATTATTTTCCTACTTTGTGCTTAAAACTCTCAGTATGAATTCTCCATGCCTCCTTTATCACAAGTAAAAACAAGTAAAAGAATATTTTTAAAAACACGTTAACATTCAGTATTTGTATGCTGTAAAATATGTGTGCTTCCGAGAGGAGTAAAGCTTAATTCTGACCTATCTTTCTTAAAAGGTCCTCCAAGTTATGTACCAGCTACAGCATTTCTGCAAAATGCGGGCCAGGCACATTTAATCAGTCAGTGTGAACAACTGGAAGGAGAAGTTGGTGCTCTTCTCCAGCAAAGGAGATCTGTTTTACGTGGTTGCCTTGAACAGTTGCACACTTATGCAACAGTAGCTCTTCAGTATCCAAAAGCTGTGTTTCAGAAGCACCGAATAGAGCAGTGGAAAACCTGGATGGAAGAACTCATCTGTAACATGACAATAGAGCGCTGTCAGGATATCTTTAGAAAGTAAGTGGACAGAATAATGAATTGTTTGAAGAACTTAAATTTCAAGCTACTTCAGGATTTTAATTTTCTAATTAAAATTATTACTTCTGTGGGGACCAATCTAGTTACAAAGCAAGACAGGATTAAGTTGTATTTTCACAAGTTTGAAGAAAAAGATGAAAAATTGCTTTAAAAATACCGTTTTAGGTTTTAATCTGTGCACTTCAAAAAGAAAACCATGTAACATTGCTCTGTAATGAACAAATGAAGAACCATGTTTGTGGCTTGAAAGTAGTGATATTTAGGGGGTTTAGAAACTTCCAGTATTTTAAAATCACTTAAGTCAACTAAAGTTGGTTGTTTTTTTGGGTTTTTTTGGGTTTTTTTTGTTGTTTTTTTTTAAATTAAAACAGATTTTAACAAAATTTTCAAGCAGTTTTTTTTTCTTCTCTAAAGTGAGGCCACTTCAGCATTACTACTGCTTGGCTTACAAGATTTGTATTATATTCAAGCATTTACACTGAAACCTGTTTCCTTCTTATTTCTTACCTTCTATTCATTCTTTGCCTCGGACTATTGATTGTCTTCTGTCCTTGCAAATAGGTATGAAATGTGGTACATTCTAGGACTTTATGAAAGTGTCATTAGGGTAGCCATCAACTGCTGAGGTATTTCAGAGCTGCTACAGAGCAGGTGATGTGTAAACTGTTCAAATGCAGAGTATTCTTCCTGACCACAGAGCGGAATGCAGTTTGCTAGAGCTTGATTATTTTGTCATTGTACTTTTGCTTTACAGGTATGAAATGCAATATGCTCCTCAACCACCTCCAAGTATGTGTCAGTTCATAACCGCTACAGAAATGACTCTACAGCGCTATGCAGCAGATATAAATAACAGACTTATCAGGCAGGCGGAACGTTTGAAACAGGAGGCAGGTACTGTGCCCGTTTGTGAAGAGCAGTTGAAAGAAATTGAACGTTGCATAAAAGTTTTTCTTCATGAAAATGGAGAGGAGGGCTCACTGAGCTTAGCAAGTGTCATCATCTCTGCTCTTTGTACGTTGACAAGGTGAGTTTCCTTTTGTGCAGTTTTTTCGTATGCATTCATGTTTGAGACTGTGTAAAAGGAATATTCAAGTGACATAATTATGTGGAGAATGCAGTAGCAGGCAGGTTGTCTAACTAAGTCTCATAATTTGTCTAGGCGAAATCTGATGATGGAAGGTGCAGCATCTAGTGCTGGAGAGCAACTCGTTGATTTGACTTCAAGAGATGGAGCCTGGTTCTTAGAGGAGCTTTGCAGCATGAGTGGGAATGTTACGTGCCTTGTGCAGTTGCTGAAGCAGTGTCATCTTGTACCGCAGGACTTAGATATTCCTAACCCAATTGAAGCATCAGAAGCTGTTCACTTAGCGAATGGAGTATATATCTCACTTCAGGTGATACTTACATTTATGTTACTTTTTCTTTCATCATCCCCAACCTTCTGAGGCTTTAGCTAAGTGATCTTCCTTCCAAACAGCTAAATATTTGCTTACGATGCTGCTGAGGTGTTTTTGTTGTTATTGGTCATTAGTCTTGGCGGCTTTATTTGACTGAACTAAACAGGCATTTACTACTGCCATTTATGTTTTTTATTGGGGGGAAAAAAGCCATTTTGATTTATATGCGACAAACTGGAAAAACTCTTGTCAAGTAATTAACCATGAGAAAGAATTTAGTATCAAATTTATAGACACACCAGCTTCATGTCTTGGTTTCATACTTCTGTTGCTGGCAGTGCAGAACAACTTCCAAACCCTTTAATCTTTGCCCTTTGTTTTCTGCTTCTGCCATGCCTTACTTATTTTAACTTGAAACAAGTATTTTGAAACAAATTCCAAACACTTGTTTTACAGACTCCTATCACCAAGATTGGGAAGGAGAAAAATGTATTTATAATTTTGTGTTTTAGAAATGTTTTCACTTCAATAAAACAAACAAAAAAACCATTAGTGACAGCTTGAGTAAAGTACCTGCTGAAGACTTAGGTGGTTTATAAATTGTGACTGGTGTGAGTAACTTTTTGAGGCTTTTGGTTCCACTGTGTTGTATTTGAAAATATTTTCCTACCAACCTGTGTATGCACATTGATATTTTCTTCACTTTCTTTCTTTGCTCTTCAAAGTATTAACATTTTAGAATTTTTTCAGAAACATGCATGCAGTTTCATTGCATTGCACCTCAGAGCTTTCCACCCACATGTTGTCCTCCCTGTGAAGTTCTAGGCAAGATGCGTAGCTCACTGAACAGCCAAGACGACGACTCTTTTTGGTGTGTCTTGTCTCATATTGGAGACAAAGTGCATTGGTTGGTTCTTTCAATAGCTGCCTTTAGCCCTCTGATGCATTCTGCTTGGGAAAAATGGCTTTACACCACTTAAGGCACTGTTTTTTCTTACCTGCATTGATATCTGTGGCATAAGTGGGACTCTAGCAAAATAAACACTATATGGCGAGTTTTTGATTCTTTTCCCTTGCTTAGTGCAATCAGTTGAGCAAATCATAAATTCAGGACATAATTTAACTCAGTTATGGGTGGGTAATGGAAAAGAAAAGCTAGGTCATGTGATGAAACCGATTTGCAAAGTGTGATCTCTGTACTGCTAATCCTCTGCTAAGGATTGCTGTTAGGATATTGCTGCTGATGCTATCGAGGAGTTGTTCCTACATTGTGCAAATGTCAAGCCTTTGGCTTTGTACAGGGTTTAATGTATCCATGATTTCTTTAAAAACAAAACAAAACAAACTTCATCTTTTAGATTATGTCTACCACAGAGTGGTATACTACTAAAATGATAAAGATGCTGCATTTGATGCTTTTTGAGAGGGGAAAATTTCTTATGTCTTTGTACTTACTTCCCAACAGGAATTGAATTCAAACTTCCGACAGATCATTTTTCCTGAAGCTCTCAGGTGCTTAATGAAAGGAGAGTATACTTTAGAAAGTATGCTCCATGAATTAGATAATCTTATTGAACAAACAACTGATGGAGTCCCTTTGCAAACATTGGTTGAATCTCTTCAAGCCTACTTACGAAATGCTGCTATGGGACTAGAGGAAGAAACACATACTCATTACATTGATGTTGCAAGGTAAATAACTTTTTTTATTCAGGAATGAGAGAATGAAGACTGCAGAACATTAGTTTGTTTAAATTTTATTTCTTTGAAGTACAGGCTTTTCTTGCCCAAGAATACCCTTAAGCAGAGTGCAGTGTCTCAAGTGCGTGTGTTTTCTCTGTGCGTTTATCTGTATGCATACATAAAAGTACAGAGCTATGGCAATTTACATCTGCTTAAAGTTCACTTTTAGTAGTCATCTTTTTCCAAAATATGTAGCTGTGACTTTATAGTTGAAGTTAAGGGACACTAAAAATAAGAACTAGTTCATTAGTTTGTGGGAGGAACCTGTGCAAGGGAGGGCTTATAACCATGGCACTCCTCTCATCAGGAGGTTTGATTTGATTAAATCAGTCAATGACTTGATTAAAAAAAGCAAAACACAAACAAAACCTCAGACAAACAAAGACTTGTGCATCTTGTGGTGTGGCACAGTACCTTTCTGGATACCTTTCTGCTTGTTAGACAGCTGAGCCAATCCAAAAGCTTCCTGCCAACCAGCAGTGATCTTGCTGCTCCCCTCGACCCAGTTATGGTGGCTCCATCAGTGGTACAGTTAAGGTTGTTATACCAGTTGAAAACAATTTACTTTTTTTCTTCTAAATTAGTTTTCTTCCTGGTTTACCCATTGGTAAGCCTGCTCAGCTTGTTAGTTGAGGGTCGAAAGAGAGGGAAAAGGATAAGACCATTCTTTTGGGAGTGGCAAACTGTTAAGCCATCTCAGCCATAACTCGACACCTCAGCCTCTACTGTTTTACTCCATGCTCCATTCAGTCAATGAAGTACGTGTATGTTTTAAAACCAGTACTTGGTTTTCAAGGAAAGAAGGATGATATTTACATCACTTACTATTCATAAGTTGTTTTTTTTTTACCATGCTCATAGGAATTACAGTCTGTATCCTCTACCTGCATTTTAAGTTGGCTTTGTTAGCTGGTCTTTAATACAATCCCATCTTATATGGTACCCTTAGCTGTTCTTAAGACCAGCATTGGGATTCATGTGGGAAGTGGGGTGGGTAGAAAGAGCCTGCAAAAAATTCACTTTGTTCAGATGCAACTTAATTCCAATCTGCTCTACCTACGGGATCAATCAGTTTAAGAAAGTTTTATTTATTTCTTGTAGACTAAGCAAAAACGTGTATTTTTTATTTTTAAGAGTACTGCACGCTCAGTATGGTGAGCTGATTCAGCCAAGAAATGGTTCAGTTGATGAAACTCCCAAAATGTCAGCTGGTCAGATGCTTCTGGTAGCCTTTGATGGAATGTTTGCTCAAGTGGAAACTGCATTTGGCTTATTGATTGAAAAGGTATGGATTTGTTCTTTTCAGAGTAGTCTGAGTCAGGAATATGAAAGCTTTACAAAAACAATACTAATTTATTTCCTTTACATTGCTCAGCTAAACAAGATGGAAATACCTGTTGCTTGGCGTAAGATTGACATAATTAGGGAAGCCCGCAGCACCCAGGTTAACTTCTTTGATGATGACAATAATCGGCAAGTTCTAGAGGAAATTTTCTTTCTGAAGAGGCTGCAAACAATTAAAGAATTTTTCAGGCTCTGCGGTACCTTTTCTAAAACTTTGTCAGGTAATTAAATGTTACCAAATATTCAGTATTGCTTTGTCCACTTCTCACCCCATATCCTTTTGAGAAGAATGTAGAATGATGGTCACTTTTACTGTAACTTATCTTTCATGTATGGCAAGTATGCAGAAATTAATTTTTAATTCCTGTAATCTTGCTGTGTTTGTAAGTCCAGTAATATTTTTCTAGATACATCAAGTGTTTTGTTTATAACAAAAATACTATTTTTTCCTTTAAAAGGAATCGGCTCACTTGAAGATCAGAATGCAGTAAACGGACCTGTTCAAATTGTCAATGTGAAAGCCCTGTACAGAAACTCTTGTTTTAGTGAAGACCAAATGGCCAAACCAATCAAGGCTTTTACAGCTGACTTTGTGAGACAGCTTTTAATTGGCCTTCCAAATCAAGCTTTGGGACTTACTTTGTGCAGTTTCATCAGTGCTTTAGGTGTCGATATCATTGCTCAGGTAGAGGCTAAAGACTTTGGAGCAGAAAGCAAAGTTTCTGTGGATGACCTGTGCAAGAAAGCTGTGGAGCACAATATCCAAATTGGCAAGTTCTCGCAGTTGGTCATGAACAGAGCAACAGTATTAGCTAGTTCATATGATACAGCATGGAAGAAGCATGATCTGGTGCGCAGACTTGAAACCAGTATTTCATCTTGCAAGACCAGTCTTCAGAGAGTACAGCTGCATATTGCCATGTTCCAGGTAAGACCATGCCACATGTTAATTCTCTCCAGACTGTCTCTCTGGAAAGTGAGGTGTAGTTACTGTGTCTGAGCATAAAACTTATATTTTGTTGAATGAGCTTTAGAGTATTATAATGGACTTGATAAAGTATTTTGGTTTTAAATTGTTCTGTAAATTTATAATGAAAAAGACTGTTACAGCTAGTTTCTTTTGAAGACCAGGTGCTTTATAAGATATGAATGTGGCAATGTGTAAATTATTTTCTAATAAATGACTTAATGGTTATTGAAAAGGATTATGTATATCCATTCAAAAATGAAGTAATTCACTGACTTTCTTAATAGTGATGTTGTCCCATCCTCACCTTTTTTGTAAACAGACTGTGATTTAAGGGAGGAGATTGCTTAAAACAGACAGTATACATTTCTGAATGTCATCTTGTACCTTTCCTTCAAAGTTGTAGTGCATTAACTGTCTGCTTGCTCTGCTGTTTGCCTCATAGAAAATTATAAATAGTGGCAGTATCAGTCCTGAAAATGTTCTTCTGAGGCTATAGATGTCACTGTGAACCTTGAACTGTATGCTGGTATCTCATTGTATTGTAGTATCACTGGTCTTTGTTTTGTAGTGATTTATAGGTTAAGAGTAAAGGCTTTCTCCATGTCAGTTGATAAACCATTTCATAGACTGGTAAGCAAAATTGCCTTGGTTTTAATGAATCATAGGTGAATTGTTTCTGAATACTGATGGGTTTTCCTTTAAATCAAGGAAATGTGTGTAAATCACTTCTAGTAAGTTAATGACTGATTAATTATATCAGTATCCAAGCCAGCAAAGCATAGTTTACGACAACTATAATTCAACACCTTCTAATGGTTTAAAACTTTTAAGTATGGCGGTATCATGTTCTGACACCTACTCTTTTTAAAATGCCCTTACTTTTATAAAGCGTACCATAGTACTAGAATTTGTTTGTAAAGCAAAGTATTTTGTGCTGAGCAATATTGATAATCATGTGTTTCCATTCTTTTCTTAAAGTGGCAGCATGAAGATCTGCTTATCAGTCGCCCACAAGCTATTTCTGTTACTCCACCTCGTTCTGCAATTTTAGCCAGCATGAAAAAGAAACTTCACACGCTCAGTCAGATTGAAGCTTCAATTGCTACAGTCCAGGTACTACTATTATAGGGAGGTTTGTTCAGCAGCATATTGGAATGTGACTCTAACACAAACTGCTTGTGCTGCTATTCTTTAAATTTGTCTGACTCAGATCATCCTTACTGCCCTTTCAGTAGCTGAGTATCAGAAGCTTCCTTTGAAGATCTGGGCAAATGAATTATTCTCTGTGTTAAGGTCTCTGTGGCTTGGCTCAGCTTTTTAGACTTTTGGGTATCAGTTTTATAGAATGTTTTGCTGTTTGAAATAAATACTGCTTAGTTGTGGAGGTACACTTTGTAATAGTTTTTTGTTAGGCAGTTAGGTTTAAGATGATACATATCAGTATTGATTTTTTTTTCCTCCTTCTCCAACACAGGAGAAACTAGCAGCACTTGAAGCAAGTATTGAGCAGCGTTTAAAATGGGCAGGAGGTGCTAATCCTGCATTGGCACCAGTTTTGCAAGATTTTGATGCCACTATTGCTGAAAGAAGAAATCTTGTACTGAAAGAAAGTCAAAGAGCAAGTCAGGTACTATACATAAATATATGTATATATATATTTTTTCCTCCTCAGTATCTAAAGAGCAAACATAGATAACCAAATACTTTGGCAATCCCACTTTAAAAGCAATATGAATTATCTCTGGGAGAACTTCTGCAGGGTTGGATGACCCTGGAGTGATACTGCTGCTGTAACAGAGCAGCTTTATTGCTGTATTTAAAATTCTCCCTTGTAAGGCCATTGAAAAAATGGAATTTGTATAATAGGCAGTTTAATTGGAATAATTTTTCTCACTCTTTTTTTGATTTTTAGGTCACTTTCCTCTGCAGTAATATCATTCATTTTGAAAGTTTACGTACTAGAACAGCAGAAGCCTTAAATCTTGATGCTGCATTATTTGAACTTCTGAAACGCTGTCAACAAATGTGCTCATTTGCATCGCAGTTCAACAGTTCAGTCTCTGAACTTGAGCTTCGCCTACTTCAGAGAGTGGTAAGTAAAGGTCAAAGCAAAATATGTGACATTACAGAATTGCTGTAATTACGGGTTCTCAATTTTGTCTTCTGTTCTAAATTAATATTATGTATACATTCTAATGGGTTGTGCATTACAGAGTTTATTCCATCAGCTACTAATTTTATATATGTGTATATAAATATAGATATTCCACTTGGCAGTAGCATCTACACAGTAATCAAATTTTATCTGGATACAGATACAAAAATGTTGCTGTTACTTTTTAGGGCACTGGTCTTGAACACCCTATTGGCAGCTCTGAATGGCTTCACTCAGCTCACAAGCAGTTGACCCAGGAAATATCTACACAGAGAACAGTACAAACAGAAAGAGAACAGCAAATAGAAACAGTTTGTGAAACAATTCAGAATCTGGTGGATAGTATTAAAACTGTGCTCACGGGTCATAACAGACAACTTGGAGATGTCAAGCATCTACTGAAAGCTATGGCAAAGGTATACCTGAAACTTGATAAAATTCATTCCTTAAACCCATGTCAGTATAGTTTAAGAACAGTAACACTTGTCACTTTGCTTTTTGAAGTATCTGGGAACAGTGAAATGTGTTCATGCATATGGAGTTCAAGACACAAAATACCTTTAAAGCTTTGTTTATAGAGTTAAACTAATCAGGCTTTGGTTGAATTAAACCTTTTCTCTCATTTGGCAGTTGAGACGTGTTTACAAATCCTCTTGGGTTTTAATGAGTAAAACTTTGATCTGCTTCAAATTTATTTTCTTGAAATTTAACCACTGAAAAATATGGTTATTTGTAGTTAAATGATGAACTGATGGGCTGAAAAGGCCAAGAAGTGCTCAACATTATTCTCTTAACCAAAATGTAGCAAATAATTAACCTTTTTGCACATCTTTGTTACAGGATGAAGAAGCAGCTTTGGCAGATGGTGAAGATATTCCCTATGAGAACAGTGTTAGGCAGTTCTTGGGTGAATATAAATCATGGCAAGATAATATTCAGACTGTTCTGTTTACATTAGTTCAGGTTATGGGTCAGGTCCGCAGTCAGGAACATGTTGAAATGCTGCAAGAAATAACTCCCGCCTTGAAAGAACTGAAAACACAGAGCCAAAGGTAAGAAAGTCACCTTCTCTCAGATGAAGGCATTTTGCTTCTCTCCTTGTATATAGCAAAAACACAGCACGGGATACCTCCTTGATGGTTGTCTTAGAACACAGAAATCTTTTTGCAAAATTTGACCCATAACTTTCAATTTGAGTTCTCAATAATTCAAATAGTTGCATGAATATTTATCAACTTCATTATATTTCCTAGTGTCTACAATAATCTAGTGGGTTTTGCATCACCCTTAGTCACGGATACATCAAATGAATGCTCAAGCCCAACATCAGCTGCTACGTATCAACCAACCTTTGCTGCAGGTAATACTTGAAAAAGTACAAATAGTAAGACATCAGGAATTTGTATTAGAGAGAGAATCATAACTTCTTCAATTTTGAAACACAGACAATCTTTAGAAGATCTTAAAAGTCTATAGAATTCAAGGCATTGGGCATATAGTAGTGAATGACTGCTTGATTATAGCCTTTGAATAGCCTTTGAGATCTGAATTCACTCCACAAAGCCTAGATTATGTAGAACACGTTGTGACGTATATCAACTGAACTGTAATTTCTGGTGAAATTGGTATTAAAAATAATTACTTTAGAATTAATCCTGAAACCCAACAAATTCTTATTGCTTTACAGTTAAAAACGTGAATGAAGTTTCTGATAAGCATGGATTTCTTTTTATGTAAAGGATTATTCTACTCAATATTTGGACTAAGCAGAGGTTCCTGATTTCTATCAAGAACATTTTATAACTGCAAACCCGTAAAAACTTGCTTAATGTAAATAAACATTTTGCAATGAGACAAAACCTCTTGTTTATGAAGTGGAAGAAATTAGAAAATGGGAAGTTGGAAGAGAGAACTGGTGCAGTTTAAAATAAAAGTTTAAAATGCATTTGTACTGAAGTACTGATAGCTGCATTTGATTCACATTTAACTGTGATTTTTCTTGCATCTTGAATACCTTAAGTACTTTACAATTTTCTTTACAGCTGTTCGTAGCAATACAGGGCAGAAAACTCAGCCAGAGGTGATGTCACAGAATGCAAGAAAGTTAATTCAGAAAAATCTTGCCACATCAGCAGACACTCCTCCAAGCACAGTCCCAGGAACTGGCAAAAGTGTTGCCTGTAGTCCCAAAAAGACAGCCAGGGACCCTAAAACGGGAAAAGGTAAATATAGGGTTTAAAAACAAGCAAACAAAACTAAAAAAAATCCCCACAACCAAAAACCCCACCATTAACAATAACAAAAAAACACCTCAGTGGGATTCTGTGCAGGAATGTAGAATTCAATTAATTTTATTTTGTACCTTTAGCTGTGCAGGAAAGGAATTCATATGCGGTTAGCGTGTGGAAGCGGGTCAAAGCCAAGTTAGAGGGCCGAGATGTGGATCCCAACAGGAGAATGTCTGTTGCTGAACAGGTGAGTTGAAAATAGTAAAGCCCTTGCTTTAAATATTTGGTAGTAAGCACGTTTGTATGCATGCTAAAGTATGCCATAAAGACTAAAATCTTGTGAATGGGGGGGGGGGGGCCCCTTTTGGGATATTTTTTTTATTTTTTACCCCAACACAAGGAAG